CACACACACACACACACACACACACACACACACACACACACACACACACACACACACACACACACACACACACACACACATGGAACACCAATAAGAAGAAGAAGACAAGGAAGAGGGAGATATGTAGGAGAATGGAAGAGAGGAAGCGAAGAAGATGAGAAACAGACGGAAGACGAGGCAAAAAGAAAAGACGAAGAGGAAGAAGAAGAAAGAAGTAGAGGAAGAACAAGAAGAGGAGGACCAGGGCGTGGTGGGGAGTGGAGGGGGAGGAGGGGGAGGAGGGGGAGGAGGGGGAAATCCTTACCTGCAACGGCGGCGATGGCCTTCCGCCTGCCAGGCGAAGGGGGCGATGGCTGCAGCTAAGGGCAGCGGGGCAGTGGGCGATGGCTGCAGCTACGGGCAGCGAGCAGCGGGTCTGTCGGGCAGCGCGCCGAACGTCCGACACCGGGGCAGTGGGCGATGGCTGCAGCAACGGGCAGTGGGCGATGTGGGCAACGGGCAGTGGGCGATGGCTGCAGCAACGGACAGCGGGGGCAGCGGGCAGCGGGTCTGTGTGGGGTAGCGGGCCGCCGTCCGTCGGACACCGGGGGCGGTTCCCGCGGGGCGTGTCAAAAGCACTGCGGTGGGCCCCTCCCATTTCGAATTTGAAAATGGCCCGATCTAGGCCGTTGATCCTCGAATTTTGACGGCCAAGATCGGTCTTGTTTTTCCCAAATCTGCTGGGGCAATCTGAAATCCAAAAGCGCGACGGGGTCCGGCGACAAATCAATCCGGCGGCCTCAGTTGGTAAGGCACTCAAGTGGCATTCAGGAGGGCCTGGGTTCAATCCCCATGCGCCTCATGTACCTTCCTGGGCAAGCTTGGTGCCCGCCACCTAGAGAAAGGCCGTTGGTCCCCCGAGTGGCATTTAGCAGAGACTGCTGATGTTCCTAGGGGGAGGGGACTGGAGGGGAGGCACTGCGACTGGCAGATGGAATAAGTCCCGATGCTATCGGCTGACCCTTGGCCGGTATCGCCCACACGTTGCAGCAGGTGTAGCACCTGCTGGTGGGTGCAGCTCCCACATGCCCCCTCGTTGGAGGCTTGAGCACGGATGTGGCTGCTACGGGGTCCCCCGTAATACATAATGGCCCAGCTATCGGCCTGGGGCCTTCCCAGTTAAAGCGCCAACACCTTCGGGGGTCGGCCAAGGGACGGCCGGGCCCCGGTCCCTTGGCCGACCCCCGGTCGCTGCTTGAAGGCCGGGCCCCAGGGACCTTGTCCCACATGCACCGTTTAGTGGACCTAGCTCAACGGTGTGACGGCTGAAACTGTTTTTTTTAATTCATTTCAAATTCAGAAATGCATTAAAAAATCCGCCAAGGATACAATTCATTCTTTTTTGTTTCTTTTTTGTTTCTTTCCACAATTGGAGTGGCATACGTGATGTCCGAAGAGTCACTCTGATCCTATGAAGAGCCCTATTCCCGTAGTTGACGCATATGTGGTCCTTCAAAGGTCGCACCAAATTGCCCGTAGTTCACGCATATTAGGTCCTTCAAAACTCGCACGAGAATAGCGAAGTACATGCGACTTGACAGATTTCTGAAGACATGATAAAATAACATGAAAAAAAGAAAAAAAACACTCTAGAAAGGACGCCAATAGTCGTTGAACTGGCTGTCTTCAAAAAAGGAGACAGCTAGCTCAACGAAAAGTGGCGAGGGTAGGGGGCGTAGCATTCGAGAAAATATCATTTTTGGAACTACTTTGTTGAAATAAAAAATGCAATAATATCTATTCACAATTAAAAAAAAAGCGGACTGCTGGATGAATGTGAGGGCGTGCATCTCCTTCGTCGCCTACAGTCGCACCGAGTAGAAAACTAAACGTGGGCCTAGCTCAACGGACAAAGTGGGACAAGGTCCCGGTATTGTCGGCATGACACAAATAACGTAAACGAAAACTGGAAAGAAAAAAAAAAAAAATGAAAACAAAGAAACCAAAAATGAAATACGAAAACAAAGAAAACACAGAAAAGGAACGGGCAAAAACAAAACGACGCACGGATGGGAGGGAGGGAGGGAGGGAGGGAGGGAGAGAGAGAGAGAGAGAGATGAAAAAGGGAGTGCATCTTCCCCCGACAGCGGGAAGATTCATTCTCGTTTTCCACACTTTAGAAGAGAGAGGGGAGGAGGGG